TTTGAATTGGGGGGAGACGGGTTTGGCGGGGGAGCGGGGGCGGCGAGGATTCCGAACTCACCTGGGTCGAAGAAGGCACGAATCGGAGCAGCAATGGAGCTGCCGTGGCGAAGCAACACAGCTGTCTTTCGCGTCGACGCGAAGGTGACACTGCCCCGGCCTTTTGTCTAGGAGCGACGCAAGGGAAAAAAACCCTTGGATCCTCATGCGGAGCCCGTTTTAACAGTCTCGGACAGCACCGACAGCCGAATCGTCGCCCCCCTTGGCATCAACTCCCACCGCGGCACCAGTTCTCCCCTCACCCGATCCTGGCCCTCAGCCGACGGATCGACGGCCCAAACTTTCCAGGGATTCGAATCGTCGCCCGCTGGGCAACGATTCTCATCGCGGCACCTGTTTTCCCCGTACACGATCCTGGCCCTCAGACGACGGATCGACGGCCCAGATTTTCCTGCGATTCGAAACGTCGGTCCCGCTGCACTGATCCCCCCGAGGCACCGGGTCCCGACCCCACACCCCGCAGGCCGCATTCCCCCACAGGCCTTCCACAGAAAGTATAAATAGTGGTGTGGGCCCACCATCTCCCATTTCTGCAAGTTCGTCGAGCGCAACGGAGCGTTGCGGAGGTTCGCGAAGTGTCCGAAGCCGGCGGAGCACTGATACGCACATCGGAGGCTCGCGCAGAAGGCAACGAAGATCTCACTCGCACATCGGAGGTTCGCGCAGCATCGGAGCGAAGTGACGAGCATCCGCATCGAAGGCAGCAGCGGAGGCTTGGGAGAACGGTAAACCGCCCTGAAGCAACCACGTGCTGCCACGTGGCATCTCCGCCCATGCAGAGGCCGCCGTCGAGTCGAACTCGACGGGGGCATTGTCGAGTCGAACTCGACAATGGCCCGAGGTCATCACCGAGTCGGACTCGACAATGGGCCGGGGTCATCGTCGAGTCGGAATCGACAATGGCCTGTGTTCATCGTCGAGTCGAACTCGATAATGGCCCGGGGTCATCGTCGAGTCGAACTCGACAATGGCCTGTGTTCATCGTCGAGTCGAACTCAACAATGAGCACAGGCCGTTGTCGAGTCGAACTCAACAATGGCCTGTGGTCATTTTCGAAGCGAACTCGAACAGGCCGTTGTCGAGATGAACAAAGGCCATTGTCGAGTCCGACTCGACGATGACGTCCCTGGGCCATTTTCGAGTTCGCTTCGAAAATGACCACAGGCCTTTGTCGATTTTGACTCAACAGTAGTCTGTGTTCATCGTCGAGTCGAACTTGACAATGGCCCGGGGCCGTCGTCGAGTCGGACTCGACAATGGCCACAGGATGTTGTCGAGTCGAACTCGACAATGGCCTGTGGTCATTGTCGAAGCGAACTCGACAATGGCCCGGGGTCGTCATCGAGTCGAACTCGACAATGACCACAGACCATTGTCGAGTCGAACTGGACAATGGCCTGTGGTAAATGTCGAAGCGAACTCGACAATGGCCCGGGGTCGTCGTCGTGCCGGACTCGACAACGGCGTTTGGTCATTGTCGAGTCCGACTCGATAATGGTCCGGGGACGTCGTCGAGACGGACTCGACAACGGTCTGTGGTCACTATCCATTCGGAAACGACAAAGGACACGAGTTGTTGTAGAGATGGAATACGTGAAGGACTGGGGTCACCGTCGAGTAGGATTCGACAATGGCCAGGCCGTGGCCATCAGTCGTCGAGTCGAACACGACGGCAGGGATGCGCCAAAGCCTCCGGCCACTGTCGAGTCGGACTCGACGATGACACCAGGGCGTCGTCGATTTCGTCTCGGCATTGTCGAGTCCGACCCGACGATGAACCCAGGCCGCCGAGTCGAACTCGACGGTGGCCCAGCGCCGAGTCGTACGGCCGGCGTGCTGGCCATTGTCGAGTACGACTCGACGGTGGCAAGCCGGCCGACGTCGATACAAGCTCTACGAACTCGTCCACCGGCAAGAGCCGAGACCTTTGGCTATCCGTCTGAGCTTCCCGATTGTCCGTCATCGGCCTCGTCGCGAGGAACGTGACGATGGATAGCCGCCGATGGAATTTGTCGCTCTGTGTGTTTTCTCCTTCTGTTTTGGGAATTCGCAATGCCTGGTTGTTGTGTGTAACTGCGATGGGTCCTCGGTGTGTGAGCGCGTTCGACCTTAGCAATGGCTCCCTGTTGTGGTCGTCAATCGTCTGTGTGTGTAGGACGTTTACGATGGCTCACCGCTTCGATTACTTGTTCCCTTTGAATACTAGCGCAAGGTACCTGCGAGGTTCAAGACGGGAGACAACTATACTTGGGGCCCGTAGAGAAGACTTCGACACGGACCCTTGGATGGGCGTTATGCCCTGGCTTGAAAAGCCCTTCGATACATGGTCCGAATTGGACTGGGAGAACACAATGAAAGACTGCCCTTGGGCATCTGATTATCGACTAGCATCCAGCCAGGAATGGGGGACATTCATCTTTCTCGACTATATCCTCATGACGATACACACGCCGGTGTTGTCTGCGACATTTCGTACCCAAGACCGGTCTTTGTCGTTGACTGCACACAACGTGTCGTGTCCACCGCGCTTGTGGGGACCATCGATGAAGATGGAGTTGCTCGACTGCGCGAGACAGAACCAGTTTCTAGAGGAATATCCCCTTCCTTTCGAGGACAACTTGACGGGGAATGTGTCGTACTTCTGCGTACATGTTGATCTCTGTCGTTTCTCTTTCGCTAGGGTTCTTTGTGTTTCGGTAAGAAATAAAAGTAAGACTTCAGCTGAAGCAAGTATTTACGTGTCCAGGAACGAGCTCATCATTGAAGGGGACTCGATTATGTTAACGCATGGTTGGAGGAACGGTAGGTTTGATGTGAAACTGGCGGGGCAGGTCGATACACCCTGGCATTGGGAGGAGGTAGAGGAGTACGTGAAGGTCATTAGAGACGCCATCGGTCGAACTTTAGCGAGATCATGTGGTTTCGTCTGTGCACGATACGTGTCTTGCTTCTCCTCCACTGCAACCCTGTGCAGTCTACAGCTCCTGACATATGGTTCATCCCTGAACACAGTGTACGGTTTCGGGGCAAAAGAATAGACGAGGTCGAGGGGGAGGTCATGGGAGATGAACAGTGTAGGACATGTCAGCTATTCAGTTGTTCAGCAAATGTGACACCTGAGACTGTGTATGCGTGCGAGCATTGAGTTCGATGTGAGCTAGCCGATGTCGGCTTAACCTCTCTCTCTCTCTTTCTCTCTCTTATGTGTGCGTGTGTGTGTTTAGTGATCGGTGGAGCGTACTGTTAGTCGCTCATTGCGGGTGCCGGTTGCCTGCGTTGCCAATTGAATGCATCGAATTGATGATGGATGTAGGCTTCCAATTGATGTGCCTTGATTGGTGTGCCTTGTTCGTGACGTCGCTTCCTATTCAGCGAAAGATGAACAGTGTGAGAAATGTGGGTCATTCAGCAATAGTGTGGACTGGGACTGTGTGTGTTATGGAAGCAATGGGTTTGAGGTGAAATTGTCGATGTCGGATTTCGATCCCTCTGCTTTGTTTGATGTGACTTTTAGCTACGCCGCTCCTGTGTTCTGTTTGTCTGCTTGCCCCCCACGTTTGAGTCGTCCCGTTCCCGTGTTCTGTTTGCCAGCCCGGTCGTGTCGAACTGTCGCACTGTCCCCCCACGTTTGAGTCGAACTCCATCGAATCGACCTCCATCGAGTCGATCTCGATCGAGTCGATCTCGATCGAGTCGAACACGATCGAGTCGAAGACGATCGAGTCGAACACGATCGAGTGGAACACGATCGCCAGGGCTCACGACCGGCACCAACACGATCGTCTGGACTCACGATCGTCTGTACTCACGATCGTCTGTACTCACGATCGCCTGGACTCACGATCGTGTCCAACTCGATTATGATCGACTCGATGTGGACTCACGATCGTCTGTACTCACGATCGCCTGTACTCACGATCATGTCCAACACGATACAGCACGATTGGATCCAACGTGAATCAACCTCCATCGTGGCTTATCGTGTTCGTCTCAATCGTGTCCGACTCGATTGACAATGGAGTGAAGCACGATCGTGTCGAACTCGATCGAGTCGAACACGATCGCCTTGACTCACGATCGACTCGAAAACGATTGAGTCGAACACGATCGAGTCGAACGCGATTGAGTCGATCATGATCGAGTCGAACACGATCGAGTCGAACATGATCGAGTCGAGCACGATCGAGTCGAACGCGATCGAGTCGATCACAATCGAGTCGGACACGATCGAGTCGGACATGATCGAGTCACGACCGAGTCGGACACGATCGAGTCGGACACGATCGAGTCGATCACAATCGAGTCGGACACGATCGAGGTGGCCTGTCACTCTCACGCCGAACGAGATCGTGTTGACCACGGGCACGATCACGAATGAGTTGAACACGATCGCGGCTGCCTCGTCATGAAGAAGATGCTGCCTTATCACTATCTGGAACTTTTCTGCTCCTCGTGTCATGCCAATGTTGTGCGGCCTGCTGATTTTTTGCTTCGCGGTGATGTGCTGTGTTGCTTTCAGATTAGGCAGCGCTACAAAACATAGAAGGAGAGGGGAAGGCAAGTAAACGACGAGCAAGTAAGAATTCAGGGAGCATGGAATAATCTTCGATAAAATCGAAGGGGACGCTGGCCGCTGGGGTTGGGAGTCTGGAGGCACCGGGGTCTAAGCGGCAACGCACCCCGGTTTCGAGGGGTGCACCTTCCACGGGCACTCCATCGACTCGTGTTCGGGGCTCTGGACCGGATAAGGGTGTGTTGATGATTGGCGGGCCTGCGGGTCAGGAACGTGTGCCTGGTTCACAGCAGGGGAGATCTACAGTGGAGGTTATGCCCGGACGCAAACTGTCTGGAGAACGTAAACCGTCTGGCGAACGTAAACCGTCTGGTGAAACGACTGCCGCGGGTCGGCGAGATGATGTCCCCGTGATTGACCACAAGGACAAGTTCTGGATGCTGGACTGGGTGGGGGAGACCGGACAACCATTGAGTGGCCTTGTTCTATACGTGGTCATCAAAGAAAATATTGTGCCGGTTGGGGGCCTGGTGAGGTGGACTGGGCAAAATATGCCGTTTGCAACTTTCGAGTTGACGATGGTCCTGAATGGAAGAGGGGAAAAAATACTAAACATTAAACACGTCGCTCTTCGATGGGCCAAACACGCGGAGTTTGGAAAGTCGCTGGTTGATGTGTTCAACCTACCAGGGACATTGGAAGTGAAGTTGCCTAACCTTGTTGACGTCCTCGAGTTTTTCGACAGTACTGTGATCGCGGGCAGAGAGCCGATTGTGCATCCAGAAGACCACATATTAGAGCCTAAATGCGTGCTTTCGAGAACCGTGGAGACAGTGCCTTCGATCACGATCCGCGATACGCCGCCTGGTCCGAAAGCTGGGCAGATAGGAGAGAAGGGTCCGTGCCGCGGACTGGTCATACCGTCAGCCCCTATGAAGACCAGGCCAACGACGACCAAAACACCAGCTGCCTTGGGCAGCCGATCCCGCTATGATGTGGCCACCAAGGGACATCTCCCCTTGGTGGGCCAGCAGCGCTATGACTACACTGTGCCGAGCCGCGTAGAGGAAGCCCATGAGTATTTTGAAGATGAGGATGAAGAAAACAACGAGGAATATTTGGAGCAGGAACAATATGCTGTGGTTGTCGGCGGCATGACAAGGCATCCAGGAGAGACAAGTAAAGTGGTTAGACAGGATGAAGACAGTGAACACACTGTGAGCGCATCGGGTGGGGAGGTTGGTCTGGCAGGAGGATATGGGAGCAGCTACGAAGGATATGAGGGGGATGTGCACGCGACAGTGGCTGTGGCTGGGCATACAGAGGCTGCAGGGCTCGCTGAGCGAAAGAGGAAGCACATGCGGGAGAGGAAAAGTCTTATGGATAATAAACGGAGTAGGCGAGAAGCGGGTGAAAAAAAACGATTGAAAATAATGTCGGTGGATGAGGCGGTCCAGCGAACGCGGGAGACTGAGGCAGCCGTGAAGAAAAAGCAGCAGCCCAAGAAAAGAAAGGCAAAATGTGGTGTTATGGAATAAACTTATGTTTTTCCAGCGGAACAACCACAATCGGATTAAGAGGCCAAAGGCAAGACAGTTACTAGGCCGCCAAGTTTGCGAAATGTGCCATCAGTGACTTCTTTTGGTGTTCTTAGCAAAGACTTTTTCCTTGAGTTGGACGAGCATGGGAACCAATGTCCAGACATGGAATTCATTTCTGTCCAGTTCGACAGAATTTTGGATATCCCCGACGGGGAATTCAGATATAATCAACGATATCTTGTGCAGCAGACAGTTGACGACATTTATGACGCAATGATTGCATCGGGTGAGGCTGCTATGAGAGAGAGAATGACTGGAGTTGCCGGTGTGAATGTTTGTACATTGTATCAGAAGCATGTCCTTTTGTTGGTTGCCCTCCGTGATACATTGCATACTAACGCTTCAGGGAGGATTGTGAGAGCAAGGAGGGTGTTGCCCGATGATTTCGATCTCGAATCTGTGAACAAGTACTACTACTACCCTCTCAGCGGTCAGCATAACGTGGCGGCGGCAAGAAGGTGTTTTGTTGAACGCCCTGACATCACACAAGAGCTCCGATTGGATCGCTGGACTGCGAGGCCTGTTTATTCTCTGGATAAGAGCATGGACAATTACGGCACGCTGAGCACTCTCCAGAACTCCAAGGACAAATGGAATACCCCACCGCACCAAAACGTGGTCGTCCAGAACATACGGAAGTTGTGGCATGAGTCCAACTGTCCTGAAGCTAAAGGCGACTCAGCTGCAGAAGTGAAAAATGCAGAGTATAGAAAGTTTGCGGGAGAGGCTCTTCGTTTGAACGGGATTCGTAGTTTGATTAACATGTCCCTTACTACTCAGTGGAGCGGCCAGTGGTTTGATGCCCTCGGGCCCTACATGTTGTTGGCAAGGGCGACAAATGACGTTTTCGAAAAGGTGAAACAAGTGTACGCCGCTTGGGAAGCTGGACAATTGCCGGGGAGAGATGCTGTGAAGCCTGCTAACAAACAAGGTGAATCAAGGAAGGCACCGAGGGCTGGACCCGGATTTGAGTTGAAAGGTGGAGTTAGGTATCCGGTTCACTGGGTTCAAGGACCTGGTTACCTCGTGGCTGTGCACGATCAGGATATCAGAGCGTGGAAGTTTTTTTCAGTGCTTGGGAGGCGTGAGCGGCTGCAACCGTTGCGAGACATTCTCACAGGCAGTGTGATACTGACTCCTAAGCGAAGTGGAGCTGCTGAACGTGCCGGGAAACATTCAACGGAAACATATGTGGAAATTGTGAAGATTGAAAGAGCAATGTTGAGGATGTTTCACTACTTCGTCTTCATTTCTGACCCTCACAGGAAGTCATTAGAGTGGACGGAACCATTCTTCAACAATCTTTCCGATTTGTTTGATAAGCACTCTGATGAAGGATTGACGTCCGAGAGGTGGATCGACCAGCGTCGCCATTTCAAAGAGATGAGTTGGGTGCGAACGTTCCCGGCTACACTTGGAGGAGAGGAGGAAAAAGGAGATGGGGGCTTCAAGAAAACAGCGTCACTTGCTGCGAAGTGCCCCGAAGAGTTCGTGCAGTTTGTCAACAAGCTGCTGCGCAGACCATAAACCAGGGGTTCGGAAAGCATAAGAATGTCGGGCTCGACGCAATATATACATTTCAAAAGACAGAACGTGAACTCTGTTTTCGTCCCATTCCAGCGGGAACCAAGCGATATTTCAGACGAGATGGATTCCAAGGAAATGTATAGAGTCCTCAAACATCTGAGATGCCACACGGCCGTGCTGGATTTATGTCACCCAACCCAGATAGGGGTGTAGACTGAAGAAGTCTTTGATGGTCTGCGGAAGTTCATGGGAAAACTGGTTGGTGATTATTGGACATTATTGTGCTTCGTTCTGCGGTCTTGCGAGTATACATTTTTCAAGCGAGTTACAAGTTGGGAGATTGACATTCACTTGTTTATTCTAAAGTGGACTCGTCAGCTACAAACGAAGGGGAAACATTTATATAAGGTTGCGAACTTGCCTTTGGAGGACACAGACATAATGGTTGTCATCATGTACTCCAACGATGGGGATTATCACCGCAACACTATTCCCTTGCTTGAAGACATTCCAGCAAGCACTCCAGTTGCAGATCGATCATCTGGCGAGCAGGCAGGTGACTTATCAGCACTTGTGCGTAGAGAGAGAAGGCCAAAGATGTTGGCTGATGTCGTGGGGAAGAACTTCACGCCCACGAAGTTGAAAATGGCAGGTATGGAGCCAAGGGAGAAATTGGTGTACGAAGGTATGGAAAGGGAGCCAAATGCGATGGTGGAGACATTGGAGCATTTTTGTCCTGCGGATGAGGCGGTTGTTTTCCTGGGAAAAGGCCATGCGGCGTTGATTTGGGAGTTGTTAAAGAGTCACCGTCATTGCATTGTTCTGGAAGGGGAGGGTATGAAGTTCGAGTTTCTCGTTCTATTCATCACCAAGATGGTTAAGAGTGAACTTTACCTCGCCAAATTTGTTAAGCCGCCTCCTCGACATGATGAAAAGCGTGATCTCGTCTACAAAGTCGACAAAAACATTGTCAACATTTGGGAGTTCCTTTTCGAAACTAAGCCAGAAAACAGAGGGAAACGTGCATATGTCGTCAGAAGGCGAAAAATGGAATCACTTCTGAGGGGGTATCATAAGGCACCGGTGGAGACAGAAGTTGCATTTCTAGACCGTTTGGAGATGATGTACTTCGACGAACAAATCGGGGCGTTTACAATCGCAGCTTATGCAACTTGTTTTGGGGAAGGCTTCGATGTTGAGGATTCAGAGGAAGAAAGTGAAGATGGTACTTTGCAAGCGGCTTTGGCAGATGAGAGGCAAAAAGCTTGTAGCTCGACTTCGCAGAAGATGGGTGCGCCGGGCACATCGTCCGGTTCTGGGGGGGCTTCGAGTATGGCAGTTACAACGGACCAGTTTCAACGGACCAGTTTCAACGGACCAGTTACATGGCGGGCAACACAACAACGCTATCTTCCGGCGCAGTTCCGGATGATCCGAGGCTGCAGGCAATTCTCTCCCCCGAGGTTATGGCAAGTCTGTCAGCACTTGCACATAGCCCGACTACTGTTTTGGAATTGCTACGCTCTCAAACTCCTCAACCACCTCCGCCTGAGCCTTTGGAGTACGAGATTGAAGACATTATCCCTCTGGACATTGCACGGCTTCCTGGACCTATTGTGTGCCAGGACGATTATACGGTGATGTCTGACAACGCATGGGGTCATCACATTATATGGCACCCCCACCACTTCCAACCTGCATTGGCGAGAGAGAACTCGGTAATGGCTATAAAAGAGGAAGGGGAGTGACAATTTTGCCTCCACAGACGCATGTCACGATCCAAGTTTGTCGCACATGCCAAAAATGAGATTGGCAAGCGACTACTGCGACTTAATCCGAAGGTTTCTGAATCAAGACTGGATGCAAGGACAGAAGAAATCTTTGAGGAGTTCAAAACATCTCGATGGTTTGAGTATCTGGAGGAGTTCTATGATCGAGAAACAAGTCCAGCTTTTGGATATAATTGGCGTATCGAAGAGGAACTTGAAGACAAAGTTGGGGAAAGGAAAGGAGCGAGCGGCGATGAGAGTGGCAAGGGATCAGGATCAAGCGGCGGTGCGCTTGGCAAGGGAACAAGATCAAGTGGTGGTGAACATGGCAAGGGATCGGAACCACGGGGTGGTGTCAGTGGCAAGGGTCAGGGACCGAGCGTCGGTGCAAGTGGAGAGCCAATAAGTCATGGTGAACTACAAAAACACGAAATGTGTCAAGGGCGTCAAGCAAAAGAGGGAAAGGTATCAGAACCAAGCGGCGGTGCACATGACAAGGGATCGGGTTCGACTCTGGGATTAGGACCAAGCAGCGGTGCACATTGCAGGGGATCGGGTTCGCCTCTGGGATTACGACCAAGCGGCAGTGCACATGAAAGGGGATCAAGTGGCCAGGATTTGGGAGGAAGCGGCGGTGCAAGCGTCAAGGGCGTAAGTCATGGAGAACTGCCGAAATGTGTCGAGGACGTCCTTCCGGATGACCAAGTTTGGGTGACCACTGTGTTGGCGAGCGAGAGTGTTACGGCGCAAGTGCATAATACTGGTGCACTTGCAGAATTAGAGATGCCATTGGATATGCCAGTTGAGAAAGATGAACATGAAGTCTCTCTTGACATGAAGAATGAAAGCGCGACTGCAGGCGCAAACGAAACTGCCAATGTACAGGCCATCGAAGAGGATGAAGGACATATAGTACTAAGTACACGGGAGCAACACACGCTTGTACAGCCTGAACTTATGGTTGCAAAATCAGAAGCACAACAGTCTGCTAACCTCGTGATATCTATCGACGAATCTCCTTTTACACCATCGCATGGTGCGATAGAAGATCGTGTTGAAGACATAGTGTTAGTGAGCCACCGAGGTGAGCACGTACTTATCTCTAAGGGAATATCTAATACTGTATGCGGATTAGGGGGTATATGCACTCATCTCATAGGAACTAATTTTTTGCCTAAGTTTGCAACCGTGCGCTCGGTCATGAGAAGAAATGAAGTAGAATATTGTGTATCTCTTATTTGCAATTATGTGGAAAATTTAACTTAAACTCATAATGTTTTGTCTTGTCAATCATTGTCGTTTTATATTGCTGAACATGCAGGGCGACGAAAAGAACTGTGGAAAACGACGCACGTACATTCGCAAAGGCAGAGTGAGAAGAATATTATTCGTCGTGGCTTGCAAGCCTTATCGACTTTGTCGTTATTGCCCAAAAAAGAGAGAAGAAGACTTACACCCATGACATTTTCATCTATGAAGCCAGCTTCCCTAAGGATGTTTAAAGCTGTTGGAATAAGCCTCAAGGAAGGGAAGAAATTGCATCGCGAAGGTTGCAGTTTATCTATTGTGGATGACAACTCTGATAGCGAAACAGATAGACAACCAAAAACATGAACTCGGGTCTACGTCGTACATCACATAACGAAAATTTCATTTTTGTATGAAGTCTTAGTCGTTCCATTGTTGTTTATATGTGTGTTTGTACGCAGTGCATGACCCTTCGTTCTACATTCCTTTAGCAACAAAACGCCTCACCGTAGAAGAAAAGGAGTATCTTGACATGATTACAGGCAACAACGGAGACAATGAAGCATACGGCATTGTCGATTACAAGGGGAGCTGGAAGGTGGGAAAGGAAGACATCATGGTCGTCGTCGAGGATGGGAAATGGCTAAATGACGAAGTCGTCAATTTGTACCTGCTAGCCGTCCAGATCACCAATGATCACATCAAGGTTGATTCGGCATGTACAGAAGTGACAAGAGATAGGGTTCCTTTTGTGTACAWTTTYAATTYTTTTTTCTTCACTCGATTGTCAGGTCCTTCGAGRTTTGAAACCGCATATTCCRAAGGGRTGAAATGRGTGAAGGACACAAATCTTTTTGATTATGACTTAGTGATTATCCCTCTTCATTTTGGAAATCACTGGGCGTTAGCTTATGTCAGCATAGACGGTCCTAGCTGTAAATTCCATCTCATAGACTCTCTCCCTCATGCTGACTATGTTTCAGTCCTTGAACGTTTGGAAGATTTTTTCGAAGCGGAGTTTCATCGGTACAATCTTCGCGAAAGATATTATGTGGACAGGCCTACATCCTCCTTTGATACATCAGTGGATAGGATTCCTGCTCAAGAGGATCCTTGTAGTTGTGGTGTTTTTATGTTAGGTTTTGCATCTTTGCTTGCAAGAGGTCACTTCCCTCCATTTCCTTTCTCACAAGCCAACATTTCTGATATGAGGCTTAGAATAGCATTTGACATTTTGTCCATGGTTAGATACGAAAGTCAATGAGGTGCGATTAAAACTACACTCCGTAGTTAATATTTTGTTGATGGGATTGACATGTTTACTGAGTGTAAACATTCGAGGTAAAAACTTAACATTGTATTATATTTTGAGCACAGGCAACACGGGAGCATGACTGTCACATTAATTTTTCCTCATTGTTTTGTCGTTCCTTCAACTTTGCATTGCTATGAACATTGTTTCGTTCTTATTTTGCTTTGTCGTTATTTCGATTTGTTGTTATTTTGCTTTGTCGTTATTTCGTCTATAATTTCCTCATTTCGTTCTGCCATTTTACAGTTAAAAAAAAAGTGAACATGAAAACAATTTCACTTATAACGAAAACACCGTTTCTCTCTCTCTCTCTCTGTGTGTGTGTGTGTGTGTGTGTGTGTGTGTGTGTGTGTGTGTGTGTCTGTTCAATCAATCAAACAATCAAACAATCAATCAATCAATCCAATCTCTCTCTCTCTCTCTCTCTCTCTCTCTCTCTCTCTCTCTCTCTCTCTCTCTCTCTCTCTCTCTCTCTCTATCTAACTATCTATCTATCTATCTATCTATCTATCTATTTATTTATTTATCTATCTATCTATCTCAATCAATCAATCAATCAATCCATCAAGCTATCAATCCATCAATCAATGAATCAGTAAATCAATCTGTTAGTCAAACAGTCAAACAGTCAAGCAATTAAACAACCACCCACGCAATCAAACAACCAATCAATCAATCAGTAAGTCAGTCAGGCAGCCACAGAGTCAGTCATGAAGTCAATCAATCAATCTGTCGCTCTGTCTGTAAGTCACACAGTGACTGAGTGACAAAAACAATAAAACAGTGACTCACTCAATGACTGACGGACTGACTGACACTGTCTGACAGTCGGCCAGTCACCAAGAAAAGCCTATCGAGTGACACAAGTCACTCAATCATTCAGTCGCTCAGTCTGTTAGTCACGCAATGACTGATTGTTTGATTCACTAACGGAGTCACTCAGTAACTGACTGACTTACGGAGTGACGGACTGACTGAGCGACTGACAGGCTGACTGACTGATAGATTGATTGAGTGAGTGGTTTACAGGCTGACTGTCTGAGTTACTGCGTGACCGACGCACCCAACCCACCCACCCAATCCACCCACCCACCCAACCAATCAACCAACCAACCACCTAACCGCCCAACCATCCAACCGCCCAACCAACCACCCGCCCAACCACCCAACCACCCAACCGACCACCTACGCCAAGCACCCAATCCACCAACCCACCCACCGAACCACCGAACCACCCAACCATCGAACCACCCAAACACCCAACCGCCCAACTGCCGACGCACCGAACCCCCAACCACCAAACCACTTATCTGCCCAACCACCCAACCACCCACCCATCCATAAGCATGCTACCACCCAACCACCCAACCAGTAAACCACCCAAGTACCCAACCACCCAACCAGTAAACCAGCCAACCACCCAACCAACCCAACCACCCAACCACCCAATCGCCCAACCACCCAGTCGCCCAACCACCCAAACACCCAACCAACCCAACCACCCAACCACCCAACCACCCAACCACCCAACCACCC